ATAGGCTTAAGGGTATATGTGTTATGGACCTAATGTGTAGATACTAGTTGTATAATTTCTATTTCTATGAGGGGCAGAAATAGAAATTAAAACATATTGATTAAAGTTGGTTTTCATTCCTTTTGAACTTCCACAACCTTTCAGCTTTGAAAACCAGTAAATAGAAATCAAAACCAACAATGGTTAAAGTTGGTTTTCATTCCTTTTGAACTTCCACAACCTTTCAGTTTTGAAAACCAATAAATAGAAATTAAAACCAATAAGTAAACCCGCAGGTATGACCTCCCTTGGAATCCCATAAAATATATTCCATTTTATGGTGGTGCAGAATACCATGATTACCATCATTATGTTGGAGGACAAAGCCAGAGCAACTTTGCATCCGTGTTCACCTACTGTGATTACATCTATGAAACTGATAAGGTCGTTATACAATTAGTTTTAATTATTATTTGAAGTTTTTTGGTTTGACCTAACTGATTATATTGTATCATAATAATGTTATTATTTGATTTATGTCATTAGGGCTACCGGTATCAAAAGAGGCTCCTCAAGCAGGTAAACACTGCAGTCTTTTGTCTTTTTATTTGTGTTAGAGTTTTGCTTGGCAACTTGTTTAAGTTTCCCTCCACATCTTTCCTTAGAAAGTGTTGGTGCTCCGTCCAACATTTTATCTCAGTGAGATGTTGATTGAGGTGGAGTTCGACTACTGCTTTTTTAGTTGATTTTTGCTTTTTTAGAATCTAAAAACGCTGATGCGTTTGTTATGCAAAAAGTTTTGAAGTTCTTTTCAAAGTTTTGCTTTTTGATGTGAATTTGCCAAGTTACCCTTATGGTGTTGTGGAATTTCACAAATTGTTGAGGGTAAAATCGTCTTTGCACAATTTTGTTGAGCTTTCCAAAAAAAAAAAAAAAACTGTCCACCGAATCATTTTACAATCCCAGAAAACAGATTGCCATTTTCACAAAACAAAACAGAAAAAAACAGAATTTACATCCATAAGAAAATTCAGAATCTGATTCCAAGAAACTAAATAGGATGAATAAAAGCATATCTATTCTGATAATACACATGATATAACCGCTCTGATACCACTTGTAAACATAAATTTCAGAACATGAAACTTCATGTTTCGGATCATCTACCATGTATATCATCAAGAAAACAAGACTAAAACGACATACCTGAATCCATCGATGAACAG